TACATTGAACGTAATAGTTAAAACCTTGTTGTTTATTACAATATTTGAACAATTAACCAAATCAAATATAATAATTTCAAGTTTTCTTAAAGCATGTCTTAGTTTAGCTAATTTAAGAAATGTGAATAATCTGAGCTTTGATATTGCTATGTTTCAATTGTGTAGTGGTTTAATAATACCCTGTTAGCATTTACGCTTACTCTTCTAGTGAATCAAAGAGAACATATTCATGAGCACGAGACTCTTTAATTTGCCATTACTGTTACATAAAATGTTTTATCTAAAGTAAAGCTTTTGTGTTATTGGTGTTTTATGGTTGTTGCCAAGAGAATAACAATTTCGGTCCCTCCGAGTCATTTCGTTTTATACAAAAGGCAGAAGTTTCTACCAGGTTATTATGCAAATAATGAAAATCAGCATAATCGTTAAGGTTTTGTAAATTCCAATCAGACAAATATAACGATATGATAAATTGTTTTTGGCTGTAACGTTCTTTGTTGTCTCAAACCGAGTTTGCTGACAAATTTGACATATTACTGTTTGAATGATAAGGGATTTGGACATAAATAGAATGACGCTTTATTTTACATTTTGTCATATATTAGTTGAACCCTTATGATAAATGGTTCGTGCGATATTATAGTTCCGTATATATCATGGACAGATGCGGGGAAAAACAATGAAGCGATGCCTTTTTCCAATTACATTGCATTTGTTTATTAACAATATATATGTATACAACGAGAAGGGGTGTAACAAAAGAGAGAAGTAGAGATCATTTTTTTGGTTGAAGTTTCGCCACGTCCGATTATCGAACCAGCGACACATGTATTTCTAATACAATGAGCTCCAACATTACCTAAAGTAGTTAAATAAAAGTTCAAATACAATATATTCATGTATTGTTTTAGTTGTATATTTTTATTTAATAATGCAAGGAATGTTTTGAATTACAAGTCGAATACGATAACGTTTACATTAATAGGTCATTCGTACCATTATGGCATAATGGGTTGTGCAAGTTATTCAGCTATTAGATTTTGCAAATTTTTTTTGCCCTGTAGAAAGTAAATTGAGTATGGAGACGTAAATCCGAATAGCGTAGCGGTTAGAGAGTTCACATTATGAAGAGTTCATGTTAAGAATTTCATTTAATTTTCGGGTTCAAATTTGCAATTGTGCAATATTTTTTGTGTCTGTATGTTTTTTGTTTGTTTGTTTTTTGTTTGTTTTTTTTTTTTGTCTTTGATAAACCTGTGATTTATTTGATATTTTGTACAATTTAAAGTTAACTTATATATTTAATGAGAAAAATTTAATGTATTTGATTTTAACTGTCATTGAACAGATTGATAACAGTATTGTCAATTTGGTTATATTTAAAACTCTATTTAATTTGCTACATTTTTTGACAATTTCGGCTCATTTGTATATTTATATACCATTTCACAGTTATTTCTCTAATCACGACTGTGTTGTTTCTAACTTAACCTGCTGAACGCGAATGTGCGTAAAACTAAATGTTTCAGTTACGTGACTTGTTAAGCTCCTACAGGTTTGTGATATGTCAGCACTTACATATAAATTATCTGGAAAAGTTTCAAATATAATCATGCTTTGACAGTCACATTGTGCCAGCACGATATTTTGTAGACAACCATTTCCTGTCATGTGACAACACAATTATAATTACAAGGACAAATGGGTGGCATATTTTGGGGCGTTGTATCATAGGGAAGTGGTGCAACAAGATATGTCGAAAAAAAATAGTTAACTTGCTTTATGGTGTTTTTTTTTCGTTTGATGATATTATCAATCAAATTAAACGTGAGGTTAATAATTCCACGCTGGTAACCTTTCTGCAGCAAAACAAAGATCATAATAAATCTTAATAGGAATGTTAATTCATAATCAGTTTTTAATTAACAATGATGTATTGCAAAATTATATGAAAGTCAGTGAGGGCATAAGACGTCATAAATCACTGCTAAAATAGCAAAAAAGGAGGCGTTATTCTAACTTTGTATTGGGAACATGCACCAAACATAAGTGTCAATGAGGGAAAATTGCGTGAAAATGAGGGAGGTAAATCTGCATTGTACAACAGAATAAAAAATTCAAATCTTGAATGTCCCAATGGAACATGATTAGAATGTACATCTTAGAAAAAGAGAAAAGGTAAAAGTTGAAATTTAATATTTCTTAGTCAATTTCTTTATGCTGGTGATTTACTGTCTATGGTGATAATGGATTGTTTTTTTTTTTTTGGTGTTTTTTTTTTACTTTGCAGTTTAAATAAAAAAAAAATTTCATAGTCAAATTAATATCTAAAACTAGAAAATGGACGTACGTCGATTTGGTAGTGAATTCTTTACCCAGACAACATGAGAGACGACATCGGCATGATGACCCTTAAGAACCTATGTAGTCAAGTGGCTTTTTCTGAGTATCATCACAAAACACAAATACTTCAAATCTATATCCAATTTAAGAAAATGAATGTATGCCAACTTTGTAGTGAATTCTTCTCCATTATGGAATATCGTTCAAAACTTCACATGGTTCGAAAGTACACAACAAAGAAAGAGACAAATGTTAACATTCAGATTTGAGTGATGTAGCTTGGCTTTCTTTAACAGCGAAGATCTTACCGACGTGAGGACAATTTACAACATAAATGCAGAAAGTGTGGTAAATCATGCAGGGAATGAAAGTTACCTTTACCGACACTATTCTCAGAAATTCTTTACGGGAAGGAGTTTCAAACCAAAGCATCTATTTCGTCTAATCTCTTATATGTACATGTAAGTAAAATTATCGTCATGTGCAGTACAGAGGAAACCCTACTTAAGACCACCACTCTATCAAGAACGAAAATTTCTATTTTATAATTATGTCATTCACAATTATCCATTATTAAGACACTAGTTTCAGTTCAACTTATTTCTTTTATACTTATGGTCCCACTATTGAGACCACTGATAATTCAGTAAACACCTACAATATATGTACTAAGTATTTAGACAACAAATTTGCTGTTATTATCTGCTTTTATGCACAATGTCTTAAAACTGTTAACATTGAAGTCTTGTATAAATCAAGGTGAGAAAATAAATGTAGGGATGGTAAAATGTCAGTGTCTGCACATTTATTTTGCGAAGAATTGAATTTTAATTCAATAATATTTATATACATCTTCAATAATGAAACTAGACAAAGGAGAAATTAACATTTAACGATGAATTTTCTATAATTATATTCTGATTTCCTCCGATTAAATAACTTTTTATAGCAGTATGCGATTGTAGCAATACAACATTGTTTGAACACTATGATCATAGAATATATACGCCGTGAAAATAATATCCACTATACTGTTGAGACCACCTCGCTATTAAGACCACTTTGGTCCAGTCCCGTTTGTCGTCTTAATGGTAAGTTTTTTTCTTTATCAATTTTGTAATAAAAAAAAATATTCAGTTATGCCAAAAGCTCTAAAAACAACACATGCAAAAATAAAATTATAATTTTATTAAACATAAACACATACCGTACGTGGAAACAACTTAATTTAAGACTTTTCTAGCATTAGTTCAACCACGGATTTATATTACAATCCGTGGTTCAACATAATTTTATTAATTTCAACTAAACTTCAATTTAACAAGTAATGCATTTGTCAACGGATCAGGAACGGAAATAGAATTATATGAGATGTTATATCGTTGTTTGTATCAATCTGACTAGGGGCATATTTTAATCATAGCGAATATTTGGACAAAACGATAGCGAACTGAGACAATACGATGGTGACAGTACGATGGCGAAGCGCGACTGTGTGCCACTGTCGCCATCATACTGTCGTACTGACACAATCGCACAGTCGCGCTTACCAACCACCGCATTGTCACATTCTTTATAAACATGCGCATAATACAAAAATGGAGCAAATATTGTCCATAGGTCTTATTTTAACATGGCCTCTCATAAACTGGAATGCTTGCACAGTTGGGAATAGAGCAAGTGAAACATGTGATGTACATGTACTTTGTATAGTTTGATTATCCTATTTGAAAGATTTTTGAGTGGGATAGAATCAATTTTAATTCTAATCACAGAAATGTTAATAAAACATTTAACAGTTCTTTAAAACAAACATTTTTTTCGAGCATGAGAAAAAAATACCAAAATATACAACTTATTTAATAATCAGTTTCTGTTAATGACTTATGTAAACACGCCTTCCAGATTCATATTAATTTTCGTGAAAATTCTGGAAAAGTATTCAAAAGTAAAATATTGTTAAGTGAACAATTAAGGAGAGCATTAAATTTACACATTATGAAAAGCGCTTAAAATCCACGTTAATTACTTTTTTCAGGGTCAAATATCTTTATTTCTTTAAAACCCTTACTGCGTCAAGTCACTCAGCAGTTGATAAAGTTGATATATGTTGATAAAGACATATTAATCGCACATAATATATACATTTTTGCTACAATGGAAAACTGACGGTTTAAGAAAAGAGACATCAACGTATGTAACAAAATCGTTACATTCAATCAAATTTGAGTTAAAAGAGTTTTTATCCCAAAACCACGTGCCTATGTATCAAAAAGAAGCTTATCGTCATTTGATGAATCGTTATTAATACTTTTTCTATGCAAAAGACGGCTTTTTGAGAGTATTTCAATAGCTTATAGCTTTCAACATAATCTAACTAAAATAAATTTGTATAAACTAAACGACTGTCATACTTCTCAACACGAACAAAGGATCAAACCATCAGATTATTATTATTATTATTATTCAGTCATGTCCGGAAAGAACAATACATGTAAGGTTTTATTTGATTCATAAATGCTCACATGCTTGTTATAATGGATTGAGCTTAATGAAGTTTATGTTGTTGTTGTTGCATTGAGTCAATCTATACATTATAGATAATTATATATATTGTGAGTTGCCTCCCTTTAATAAATATACACCATGTACCTGTCAATTTGTCGCAAGTCAAAGAAACAACGGTACCGTTAATTGGCATCCTCTAGCTTACCAAATGAAGAACTTAGAGGAAGGTTTACATGGTATCTAACTGACTAAGTTTTACAGTTTATTGCCAGACTAAAATAGGTACGATATAGAGATAACGTGGGCTACAGATAACGCATTAAGTTAATGCGTTATTATTAACTAAGTGGAAATTTTTACCTGTTGCCCGGTGTCAATTTACCAAACTATTTCAATTGATAGATCTGAATGACATTTCATCCCTATTTATATGTAACAATTTTTATATATCCCGGGACAACCAATATTCAATCAGTTAAGCTGTTTTTAGCCAATAATAAATGGAAGGGGAAATTATACTTTAAATTTATTTTAGCTATTAATGCATCTATTATCACTTATTCTTTTTCAGGTTGGTACATTTTCAACAAGTTTTGATCTTTCTTAGAAATTCAATAAAAACAATATGACCCTCTCGGGTTACTCCCAGGAATATTTTAACCTAAATTCAAACAGCAGGGTAATCACCTTGAAAAATTTGTTAAAGATAAATCAGGGCCACTAAAAACTGTAGAAAATTTCACAATGGTCTATTCAACGATTTTCAACAGTTTTTTTCAAGATTTTAAAAAACTTACACTAAATTTTATAACATATGTACAGCACAATGCATTGGTATGACTAATGTTAATGTGTATAAAAAGGCAGTTAAAGGTGTCTCTTCTTAGTACGCCATTTGGGGTGCAAAATGATAAATGCACCCAATCTTTACAGCCATTTTACCTTCCTCACTTAATAATATTAGCACATATGGAAACTTGTGTAGGTCTGCAAGCTGGTATCTCTTACAAAACAATTATTCTACAATCATCGCATGAAATTATTTGATAGCAATATAAGATTTTATTAATAAGGACCCCCATGTAAAGTCTGATGAATATTTAGTGGTACATCATATAAATACTAAGTAAATGTTTTTAAATACACCTAGGACTGAGGTAAATGGTAAAACTCTTTAGCCAATACTTAATAAAAAAAATTAACTTGCTTAGAAAATTTTTTACCACTATTTTAAACAAGTGAATATTTTGGAGTGTAGCACAAAAGCCCTCCCGGACAAAAGCCCTCCCATTAAAAAGTGACAAGGCGGACAAAAGCCCTCCCGTGAAAATGACAAGGCGTACAAAAGCCCTCCCGTTAAAATGTCAGGGCGGACAAAAGCCCTCCAGTAAAAATGACAGGGCGGACAAAAGCCCTCCCGTGAAAATAATAGGGCGGACAAAAGCCCTCTCGCAGCGATTATACATATATGTACGTTGAATAGTTTTTATTTTATTTTCAATGCACTCAACATATTAAAATTGTAATCATGAATATTTTTGTTTTCCATTGGCATGACCGTGTTTGTACGGGCTTGAGCACATTCCTGAGAAATTAGTGCTAGAATATGTAAGTGCATATTTATTCACATAGATATGAAGGATTACTCCTATGTGAAGTTAATATTACATGTATTAGAGTAATAAATGATGAAAAGAAGTTAAAATAATCTAACTTAAAGTTAAAGACATTTATAATGTGCCTTGTAATTAGTCAATTACTTTTAAAAGTGACTTTGTTTTTAACGACATTCGTGTAAAAAGTTACCTCGTTAAACATTTCAGGAAGGTATTTTCAGAATAAAAGGTGGTTCTAGCTCATACACATACTTAGGCCAATTGAAAACAATAAGAAATATATGTAACAATTTTAATATGTTGAGTGCATTGAAAAAAACACAGGTATTCAACATACATATTCATTTTTGTTACGGGAGGGCTTTTGTCCGCCTTGCTAATTTCACGGGAGGGCTTTTGTCCGCCCAGTCATTTTCATGGGAGGGCTTTTGTCCGCCCTGTCATTTTCACGGGAGGGCTTTTGTCTGCCTTGTCATTTTTTGACGGGAGGGCTTTTGACCGGGAGGGCTTTTGTCCGTTTCCCAATATTTTGATATAGTGAAAGTTGGACAATTTATATTGTGTCACTTAAATCAAACAGTTTCTTATTGTTTTTCTGAAAACATCTGACAATTAATTAAGTGTGGCATTTATGCAAGTTTTGAAGTTAATACAACATGTGACTTTATGCAATTTAGTCAGGCATGACATCAGTGCCACAGAATTAAGAATGTGTTTGAATTTAGGTTGTGATTGAAAATTGGTTGTTTCGGGATACATGCAAAATGTAAGCAATACATTATAAGTGGGCCAGTGCTTTAAACCAGGAGTATATTGTCACCTTAGTGCAGTAACGGGTTAAGTCCTTTGTAAATTTAATAGGTGTAAATCAATTTTTGCACTAAGATGACATGTTGTAGGCTTATTTGATATTTGCAATTTCTTACTGTATAAAATGTAGACAGTAAACAAAGGGGATTACTCCACTCACAGGTTATTTTTTTTTTACAGTTAACAGTTCTTATTTTGGATATGTGATGAATAAAATATTATATTTGTGTAGCTGAATTACTTTGATCTATTATAGATGTAATAATGTTATGCTTGCCAGTCGCTTGCATAATACAATTTTCTCGACTTGTTAAATAAAAATAGATATATATAAACTCATTCAATATCATCTCAATATTAATTAAAACCTTTATTTTTTATGCTATCAGTCATAACAATGGTTTGTTTGATTCAGATTGTTTCAAGACATTTATATCGATATTCTTCCGGGAAACAGAAGTTATGACAAGGAGGTTCCGTAGAAGATTTAAAATTTTGATCATGTTAGTCATTGCCGGCATACTTGTGTACATGATCCACAGTTGGTACCTTGATGATGACCCACCACCAGAGGAAAATTATGTCACAACAAGAAAAACATTGGAGCCTACACTTACTGTTGTCATACAAGACTTTGATCCATTCCATAACAATATGTATAACACTGTTAATTATATAGCATCAAATTTTACATCTGTAAAAGTTCTTATAATTACTAAAACACTGCCTTATCCACCAATGAAATTACCAAAATTACCAAATGTGAAGTTAGTTGTGTTACATACCGACGTGAAGAGCATATTGAATGACAGTAGACCAGAATATCATATTGACAGTAATTTTGTGTTGTTTCTCCCAGATGGTGCTATATTAGATGATTATTTTATGAATAAGTTTAAGCACTTTGTTCTGAAGCACAATTACATGAAGTATGAAGCATATGCTATACCTATGAGATGGACAACTTTAAAATGCCATGGAATTGTTTTTTCTGTAAAAACATGGACTCTAGAAATAGGTGGAAAACTATTAACTAATAAATGTGGGTATGTGTCGGGTGAACATGGAGTTCTGTTGAGGACTAAACACCTATATGAGTTATCAAACCCATTTTTAACACCAACTTTCATGTCTATATATATCCAGTTATCTCTCATATACTTTAAAGTTGTGATATTAGATGATCTATATTTGTTACCTGCTAGTAATGTTAAACCTGATGCTCAGACTATATGGCAACAGAAACAGACTCATTCCCAGAAATTGAAGGCCTTGTATTCAGATCTTGGCATAAAACTTGTTTTACATGAGAATAAAAGAGAAGAATGGTATGGGTGTCACAAAGAATCATTTCGATGTTTTGATACAGTCTACAACGATATGCCTGAGTTTCTATATACAGGACGATGGACCCCACCCTGCTGTTTGAAAAATTTAAGGGAAACTGCCAAACATGTTTTTGCAATTCTTGATAAATGTAAAGTACGCTATTGGCTAGAAGGGGGCAGTTTATTAGGTGCAGCACGTATTGGTGACATTATTCCGTGGGATTATGACATAGACATAGGTATTTACCAGGAGGATATATTCAAGTGTGATCAACTAAGAAAAGTTGTGAAAGAAGGATTTATTGATGATGAAGGCTACTCATGGGAGAAAGCCATTGAAGGCGACTTTTACAGAGTACAGTTTAGTGACACTAATCATTTACATGTTGATATATTTCCTTTTTATCCTAAAAATGGAATAATGACTAAGAATACCTGGTTTAAATCCCATAGACAGGATACAGAATTTCCAGAAAGATATCTTAAACCATTGAGTAAGATTAAATTTGCTGGTTTGAGTGTGTCAGCACCAAATCATGTGAGAGACTTTTTAGAATATAAATTTGGAAAAGGAGTCATTGAAAGTCCAAAATATCCAAATACAGAGATTGCTGGTTGATTCAGTCTCATAAGTTATATCAATGAATTTTTTTTTTGTAAAATGTTTATATTTATTTTGAATATGGAGATGAATGAAACAAATTACATAGGATCTCTTATGAGTTGGCATAATCATTGTATAATTTCTTAAAATGGTATAAAGAAATAAATACAAAGTGAACTTCTTGTAAGCTTTAACATTTTCTTGAAGGAGTTAAATGAAAATTTTTATTTCACATCTCATGAAATATAACCAATGCACTTTCAGCATTTGCACCATGTAATATTCAAATAGAAATCATTAGATCCAATCTAATCAGTTTAGCCTCATTTTCATTTCCAGAGTCCAAAAAGTCCATATCTAATCCACATCACACCCCATATAGCCTTGTTTTCATTTCCAGAGTCCAAATGGTTTGTATCAAATTCATATTGCAGTCCATCTTTTGATTTCGTTTCCAATTTTTGAGAGTCAGAAATCCATATTCTAACATGCTTCATAGTAGTCCTCTATCAAACAGATAGGGAAATCAAGTTCATTATTATACGATATATACCTGTAGGATGATGATTCTGGGCTCTGATGGAAGGGCCAAGCCCTTTTTAAGCCCCTCTTCTTTTGACAATCTTTCACTACTTCTTCTTATTGCTCTCACCACTTCTATGTTTAATTATATATACTTATATCTATTTCTGTTCACTCTGCTGTATAATTTTAACAGCATAATTTTTCAATAATAACATTTTAAACTTTATATGGAGTGTCTCCGGTCCAGTGTTGGTCTAGTTTTATTTTAAATTCATGAACACTTTTTGAGTCTACTACATTTTTTGGCAAATTATTCCATGTCTTAATTACACGTCTGGAAAACTGATGTAGGCAATGAGTTGTTCTACTACGAGGCATTTCTAGTTTTAAATTATGTCCCCTTGTTGATGCCGAATAACTAAAAAAAATTTCAAACACACAGTCATCTAAGCCTTTTACTATTTTGAACGTCTGAATCATGTCCCCTCTTAATCTGCGATGTATTAGACTTGGCAGTTTAAGCTTTTTAAGACGGTCAATATATGTCAGATCTTTTAATGATGAAATTAGTTTTGTTGCTCTTTGTTGAAGTCTTTCTAGACTTGATATATCTTTTATTAAATATGGATTCCACACAACATTTGCAAATTCAACATGAGGACGAATCAAAGCTGTATACAATTTCACAAAGGTGTATTCATCTAAAAATTCAAAAGACCGGTTAATAAGGCCTAAAATACTATTTGCCTTATTAATCTTAGTAGAAATATGTTTGCTAAATTTAAGATCTTTTTCAAAAATAACTCCTAGATCACATTCTTCTTGAGTATCCGATAAAGTCTTGTTATTCATAACATACTGTTTTTGAAGATTTGCATGACCATAATGCATCACCTTACATTTATCAACATTAAAGTTCATTTCCCATTTTACTGCCCAGTTCATAATTGAGTCAATATCATTTTGGAGGACATCCGACTTGCTAGTTGGTGTATACAATTTTGTATCATCAGCAAATATTTTAATGCTTGATTTGACATTATCTGTGATATCATTCACATACACAATAAAAAGTACCGGCCCCATGCAACACACTACCTTGCGGCACTCCACTATCCACTGCTTTCCACAATGATGTACTACCTTTAATTGATATATGCACAGCAAAATAACAAAGAATACTAATATGTCATATTATGTCACATATGATGTCAATAAACCAAATGATGTCCGGAAAATTACTTTTATTCTAAATATATTCAACATATTTTTATTGATTCTCTTTTTTAATTAGCATGTTAGAATGGAAATAGATATTAATTATTTATTGCATTATAGTATAATATAGCAGAGTTTATGGTTCAAATGCTTTGTTATCAATCACTCGGGCCCATCAGCCATCATGATTATATACCTACGCATTTAAACTTGACCCGTGCATAGTTGTAAAGTAATGTACTCAAAATTGATGCTTTTTCCCCAATTGAATCCTTATTGTAACAGAAGTAATGAAGTTCTGTTAAAATGTCAAAAACTGGTGGTGTGAAATAAAGAGGTCATTAATCATGGTTGAGGACAATACTGGTTCTATTAAACTTTTACACAGCTTCAAAATCTGTATCAGACTTGGCTTAAGCACCTTATCAAATGTAGGTTTGAGAGCTGTGTTCTGTACTCCACAAATTAAATTCATTATTGTTCTGAAGAATGTTTAATAATAACTTCATATCATTACTTCACTTTGACTCTAATTTTCAGGTGTAGATATTTATTATAAGTATAGGTATAGGTTATAATTAATTTTCGAGTGAAGAAGTGAAACGAGAAAACAAGTTTCTTAAAACTCTGTATATAACCTATATAACTGATTTACATTTAGCCCTGCCCATTCAAATCAAATGAATTATGTAAATAGGCAGAGTCCATTAACTCGGTTCATTTAATGTATAAATTTAATACACACAGTTGAGTTACAGCACTGAATGGTAAATATTTTGATACAATTTAAACATAATAGAGCGACTTCATTGGCAGACAAACTTTGGCAAACTGTAAATTAATTATGCTAGTTCAATACTGTTCTTTATGTCAATTGATATGTCAGCTGTAAAGCTTTTGATATTTATAAAAGACCATTCTGCATAGTTTTTATTGTCATTGTTTTTCTGTTAAAGTGTTAAATTTCATGTAAGACCAAGATTTTCTAATGTTTCACACTGTTGCTATAAAATGTCATCTACCACCTTGCCTGTATAAAATATGCACATGTACCTGCAACCTGTGTAAAATTGATATATTTATCTGAGGTACAAATGTATATTTTCATAAGTGATATAGCTGTTGTACACTAGTGAAATATAATTTCATATGGCATTTTTTCTATCTAAGCTTTTTTAAAGTTTACATTCATATTTATATATTTTTATTGCATAATCTCATATGCTTCCCTTCATGATGACATAATATTCATTACATACTTTAAATACAATTCTATGTGGTTTGAAGATATGCATACATTTCTACATGAAGTGCACAAATATTTATGTATCTGAAGTATTTATGTAAAGTATATTTCTGCTACATTTTATGCTCCCCAAAGGGAGAGCATAAAAAGAGGTGCCACTTTGTCCATCTGTCTGTCCTCTTTTCTTGTCTGGGACATAACTCTGAAACTACAAGAGATATCGGCAAGAAACTACTTGTCTGTGTCTAAATCCTATTGGGGAACATCACAGGGTTCAACCGGATCACCAGGTTCAACCGCCTCTTGGTTTTATTTTATGACATGCAGTTATACAAATGCTTTTCTTTCAGTATTCAAATATAGTTTGGTGATTGGTTAGAGTGAAATTATATTATAATAATTTCACAGTGAAATTATCCAAATATATAATTTGCTGTTATATTTCAGTTAATTACTGTTATGTACTTATAAATATACAGGTATGTTATATAAAAGTGGGACTAAAAGTATCTTTGTACTTTGTAATCTTGTATATTTATTTATTTATTTATAAATAAAGGTTTTAAACATTAAAACAAATCCAACTTGTGTTTTTTTCTGATATTTTTAATCTCAAATATGCAATAATAATTTTTTACTTTCAAAATTTTAATTAAAAATGCAGGAATTATCATTAACATCACAGAAATGCAGCATGTTTGCATGTATTGAAGAAAAAAATCTGTGTAAACAGCAGCATGTATGTACATAAAATATAATTATATTAAACATAAAACTTAACTTCAGTATACAAACAATGTTGGTGCTACAGATGTTCTTGACACATTTTACGAAACAAGAGATGTTGATTTTTTATTGCATTTCTTATTTACATTTTATATAGCACCTGTACCACACTGTATGATAGTAATTGCCAATTAACATTCAACAGTCTCCTGAAATAATTTCTTATTCTTAACTGTATGGACAATGCAAAATTAATAATTCTTTTATCAAGTAAATTTACTTTAGAGACCTATGTATGATCATTGTCTAAATGTCTGGTAAAGAAACATATATATCAACTTTCTTTTCATCTGAAGGTTTCATAATTTCACAGGTACAATGTTTTAAAGATGACACTTGACAGTTTTTTTGTTGTTTTTTTCACAGTTTATGACGCTTGTTGTTGTTTGCTGTCTGTAGGTTCTCTGACCATCGTAAGGATTTTCTCCAGTTTGGCGATTTCTGCTTGCTCACGGACGGACGGGTCAGGGGCTGCGACTCCTTTCTTCTCCTGTGAAAAAAGCAAAGAGTTACGTGAATATGAATCTGTGTGTAAACTGAATTAAACATTAAGTGAAGGGTTAGACATCGGTGAAACATGATTTTATAACTACAAAATGTACCAAATGAGACTTTCTATGTGGAGTAAAATATTTCACTGTACTTACTTCATACTATGCTCACTTTAAATGGTGTATTCAGAAATAATTTTAAAACATATTTTTTTGCATCTTTAGTTCTTATTAGGTTATTAAACAAGAGGTGTCAAATGTCAATGTCCATTTGTTAATTTAGTGATTTTTTTTTTCAAATTAAGAAACTGAATTATGTAATTTTGAATATAGACCTTAATCTTGAAATATTCATACAAGTATATATAAAAATAGGAACAGATTTCATTTAAGGACATAAACCTATTCTAAAACTAATACACTATACCTCAACAGACTGGAATTGACAAGTAAATAAATACATTTGATACAGAGAAATCAGAAATAAGGACACAATACCTGTGCATTTCATCTTACTTTCACATTTTTTATAAACATACAAATATCATTCATAACAACATTAGGGAGGGGGATAATTATTCACAACATTTCCTGTTCTTCAACTTACATGTTGTATATGATAGTCAAACTATAAAATAAAGATTTTAAATACTGCTTAATATGATGTAATGATACCTTTCCTCTAAAAAGAAAATTAATTTTAATTCTACAATTTAGGAACCTTGTTTGAATCAAATGATATAGCTTGTATATGGTAAACACTTCATAATACTTTTATTTCTGTAGACAGGCTATGAAAAAATACAAAAAAAATGCAAGTGATACACTATTCTACAACTTTTAAAAAGCATGCACCATGCAGTCCTATAGATGAAAACTTATCAAATTTGCCGAGACATGGTCACCTGATTTAACAACCCAACTGCATTACTGATTAAAAAAAGATTTAGTGTGTTTGAATATGATAAAGTTTAACAGCTCAAAAAGGTTTTTTGAATGTATTTTTATAGGCACAGCATGTATATAGGACAACCCCTATCCCCAAATAGCAGTATGATAAAAGAATTGAACAGACCATGTTTGATACGAGTTCTCAGTAAGGTGGAGTTTATGAAAACTTTTCAGGGATTTAAATATGAAACGCGAAGGGTATTTCAAGTCAGGTGTCTCTAAACTTGGGTATACGGCCCCTGGATCCTCATGCAGAATAAGGTACATGCACTATACGACTACAACAACTTGTATATGCTTCAGTCTAGTATTGCCATTATAATAATTTTTCTTACTTTGAAATAAAATGTGTGACTTTTAAATAAGAAACATAATCACTTCAATCATATAATACAAAAAAGAATAATATCCTTGGCTCTAATCTCTGTGTGTAACTGTCAAATAATTGATTTTAAGTAACTTCTACACATACATTAAATAATGTGAAAATAAAAGTTCATGAAGAAAAACAAACCTTGTGTGATTTTCCAAAACTGACTATTACATGCAGTGGTTTAACGATGAAATTGTTAACTTACAGTTAGTTTAATATATAAAGCTGTTATAGGATTATCCAATTCCTCGTCGTCTGACTTTATATTATATAACAAAGGTAAAATCTTCATCTTCACCAATTATTCTATTTGTTACATTATGTATGTAGCCTTAATCTTTAACTCCAATGCAAAATTATATTTATATGGCCATAACTTAAAACCTCAATGAAATAAATTAATATGCATTTGGTCATAAACTTAACCTTTATGAAATGAGCCCGACATGACAAAACCAACGTAATGCGTTTGCGACCAGCATGGATCCAGACCAGCCTGCGCATCCGCGCAGTCTGATCAGGATCCATGCTGTTCGCTATCAGTTTCTCTTTTTGTAAGAGAAGTGAACAGCATGGATCCTGATCAGACTGCGCGGACGCGCAGACTGGTCTGGATCCATGCTGGTTGCAAATGCATTATGTTCGTTTTGTAGTGTCGCGGCTCATATATGTTTATATTATTGATGAGGCCACAACCTTTAACACCAATGAAGTAGATTATTTATCATTATCTGTTAGGCCTTAAACTTTACCATCAAAATTCATTTGTGGCCATAATATTTTAACCTCAATAAAATAGACTGTATAGGTTGCCTTATAAACTTCAAGAATAATACATAATAATGCGAGAATGTTAATTAGAATTGCTTCGTGTTATATCATAGTTGGCATATAAACAATAAAATATAAGTCATTAGTATTTGTATTTTTATTTCTCTTGGATATGTCTCATTAAAATTATCGAAATAAAGAGACATTTAAGGCCCCTGTGACCTAGACCTTTGACCTAGTGACCCAAAATCAAAAGGTGTCATCTGATAGTTATTCCTTGAATTATGTAGCTACCTCACATCATTTGAATAAGTTACATGTAGTCTTAACCTTGAACCACAATCAATCAAGCAATTTTTGTGACCTTAACATCTTAAATGGAAGATGCACATCACTTACATTCCTTTAACCTTTCAGGGCAAGAAGATAAATATTGTTTGTTAAACAAGGTAAAATACTAAAACATTATCCATAATTCTGTTAAAGAAGGTGACAGATATTCATTTACAAAATTTAGTGGATTAATGTTGAAATAGAATACTTCAGTTCATTCCTGTTAATGAAATTGAATATTGATTGTAAGTTGCATTAGTATAGAACCACTATAATAACAGTTCATTAAAATAAGCTTACCTTTGGTTGTTTTCTCAAGTTTGGTGACAATTTGCAGCTTGTAACTGTTCCTCTGAAGTGAAAAAAGAAATTGACAAGTGTTAGTATACTAATATTGAGAGTAGATATTATAATAATGATAATTTAATATTAGTAACAGTAATCATATGAGCAAAGGCACTTGCTAAACAGAATATCACATTGAATATTGAACCAAGTTTATGCTATATTTAACTGTACCTGCAACATGTCTTCAATTTGCAATGTTCCATAACCTTATAGGTGTCCTTTTTTAATATAAACATATTTATTTCAAGCTTGATTGCAAAACAAGTACTTAGACTTATATGTATCACTAGAACCCATGTTCCTTGGGTTTAGAGGCAGACACTTTAACCACTAGCTCATCCTTTTTTGATTATAGTAATACAAATTATGTTTCTAGTTCACTCAATTTTTTGTCTATTAACTATGAACAATTCAGGACAAAAGAGAATAAAGATATGAATTTAACTACATGTATATTCGAATATATTTGCCATAATCTACATCTACAAATCATCAAAGTACAAGTGTACTATGTGTAAAACAGCTATACTTGTGTTGTAGACAGCAAAAAAGGTTAATTATCAAGTAATATGTTAAAACTATCCTTTTGCTATTTACATATATATAAGTGTGGTTATAGCATACCTATCATCTCCTACAATAACTATTGGATATTGAGGATTGAATTCTAGATGTGTGAGTTTTGTCTTCTTTTTCTGTGCTACCACCTGTTCACATAGGGGCTCGTATTTGTTTACATTCAGATCATAGACAAACACCTGAAATACAGTGGCATATATAATTATACTTCCAGTAAAGTTTTAATAAATTATAATTTAATGCATACATGCTGACAATTGAGTTACTTTGAAGTTTTAGTTTTTATACCCAGTACCTAAATCTATAAATTTCTGATAAATGTGAGTTAACAAGCAAAATCATAACAAAGCCTTCTAATAATACAAAAATAGTGGTTATTTTGTTTGGGAATATTTTCTATTTTCATATATGTGCATTAAAGTACAGATACAATTTTTGCCACAATGATCTTAAGATATGACACAAAGAGTATGAAAACAATGTGACTGTTAAAATTTTTATAAGATATTTCACTAGTTACAGCAATTTTCCAGCTTTAATGACACAGTAAAACTTTTGACATTTCTCTCTGCAATACTTCGGGTATGGGTAGTAACTCTTACACCTTCTTGCTACATAACTTCATACTTCAGGGTCTTAGGAATTTCTCAAATCTATGGGGTATTAGACAAGTGACTTAAAGATTAATTCCGCTTTATAATATACAAAACTATATAAAATATTTAGAGAAGAAAACAACAGTTAATTGTTCTAACCTTTCCATCAGCAGTAACAGCTGCAAATACTGTGGATGAATAAGGTGCCCATGCTACATCACCTACTGAGTTATTCAAGTCAAAGGTGAACAATGGCTTCCTGAAAACAGTAAGGAATTAAAAAGTAATAATCTTCATGCTTCTCAAAAAATACCAATTGTTTCATCAATGAATAAAAATTGACTTTGAATACCACTGATTGCATTCTACACAATAATCACTTCAGTATACAATTCATTACAAAATATACAAACATTTATCTCATTATACCACTCATTGTAAAATAAACAGACATTCATCTTATTATATCGCTCAATGTAAAATTTGATGGCATTTATTTCATTATTCAACTTACTGTAAGCAACTAAAAGAATAATGCCTTATGTTAAAATACTGTAAAGATGTGAAAGTTGCTGTCTAGACTTAACATTGTGGCACAGGTTATTCATTACCTCTACTGAAACTCAAAGAAACACAAAAAATCTTTGCCACTCAAAACTTCAGTAACTCTACAGAAGTAAATTTTCTTTTCCTAACAATAGCTTTGTGTTGTTTGATACTGCAATAGTCACTCTAGATTTTTCTGGTACAAGACCCAAGGTGCACTTCCATGCATTATAAAAGGTACAAATGGGCACCTGTGTAAATTCACTGATCTTATTAACAACAAGATTTATTAATATTAAAAAATCAAATCAATATTATACTGACCTTGTAGCACTATCAGGATTATCATTTTTGTCACTAGCAGATTTATTTCCACGTTCCCAGATTTTGACAGTCCAGTCAGCACTACAAGTGATGTAGATATCAGGATGGTACGGGTTCCAGCGTACCTGAAATATACAAATATATTCAAAAACACATACAAACATTTTGTCAAATTAATTTACATTAACCTCTTCACTATCTGGTTATATACTGTGACTTACATATATTCACTTACAAGAAGGTTTTCCTCCGAATTGATAGAGTTTAAGACTGTACACCTTGACATATAAAAGTGATGCAAAAAACAATGTTTTATGCAAAGTAGTAAAAAAACTCTTTGAACACAGTCGGGCCAGAACTTTACTGTTGCCTGTCTAAATTTAGAATATGAATATTAATAAAATTCTCTCAACTAAAGCTTGACAATTCCAAATTGAAAAACTTGACATTTGTTAAGTTTATAACCTTGACTATAACTCCACTGCAGCAGGTTTTTGGAATGAATGAAAGAAAAAAGAATGAAAGGAACTAGTAAAGACACATATAAACTATAGAGTAAAATCAAGTTTTGTACAAACCTTGTAAACAGCCATATTGTGAGCATCCATTGAATCAAGGAACTGACTACTGTAGGCCTTTGAACATGTGTGTATCTTTCCCTCCTCTGATCCAACAACAAACATATAATCATTCTTCTTATGGAAGTCAAATGCAGTTCCACAGCCTGTAAAATAAGTGCAATATGATGAAAACATAATTAATATTTGATAGCTTTAGTATTCAAAATAACAGCTGTATTACTCTCACATTCTTTGATTATAAATAAAGTTTTTCCAACCACAGCCAGGGAAATTAAAGTAAGGTCAGTAACCTCCAATATTATGCAAAAATCTTTAAAGAGAGACAAAACAAAAACATTTTACCAATTGTTTGTATTTTTGTTCCATCTGGACCTTCTGCTGGAGCTTCAGGCATGGCAAGTTTTATAACATCTTGATAGGTCAATTCATTCTGTAAAGAAAATTAAAAAATACTTTATTTTCTTTTCAATCAGAAGTTTTGTATCACTACACGATGTCACCTATCTCTAGCTTAGATGAATTTGGTCAAATGTTCAAATTTCTTTTTAAAATATCTGTCACTTCAGACTGAGCATGAAAGGTTAGAGATGAAAAACATTTTCACAAGCACATGACATTACTCTTGTTGCTGCATGTCTCCAAATTTCAATGTTAATTCCAAAATCGTTCTAATTTGTAAAACTAAATAAAGACTTAACCTAGCCTAATGGACAGAGTTTTACATCTCAATATATACAGAAACAGACACTTCTCTGTTGGGAATAGGAAAGAAACATGTTGATAATAATTATAAATCGTGTCATATATGTATAATCTTACATTGTTAAAATTCATACATTTCATAAACAGATAATAAAAATTCTTCTTCTCCTTTTTATTCAATTTGTTTTTGTGTTTTGAAATATGTAGCTTTAAAAAATATAATATATCACAAATGTGTTGTATTTTTGGGCTAGTGTGCATTCTTTGTCTTAATTTGATTTACTTTGCAATAATTACACTGTTTTAATAGCAAATGGTAAAACCAGCATGCATTTCCCAAACTTCTTTCATATCTGTTTTGTTTCTTCTCCCCAACAAATTTTGGACATTAAATTTAAAGAATAAGCTGTTCCTGTGTTTGCAACAAATAACAATGACCATACCTTAATGATTGTCCAGTGTACTATACGTCCATCTGAGGAGATTGAGTAGAAATTATGATTATTTTCTAGGTCATCTTTCTGCCATCTCACCTGTAATATATAGACTTTAATAAAAAAAAGTATGAAAAAAAACCATAAAACTTTCAAAAAGTAAGGTTCCAATTTGCCAATATTTTTTTATAAAAATCTAACTATTATTTAACTTTAACATTTTCCCTCTATGGTATATGGTTTATCATTTTTCAACTTTTCAATTTTGTATCCTATTTAAAACAATTAAAGCTGACTTATATATTATTCAAAAATATAATGTCACATATCAATTAAAAGTTTCTTAGATTCATGACATAATAGCTATTTTTATATCTTTAATTTAACACCTCATAAAAAGATTATTGATAAGAACTAGTGTGATTTAAAGCTGAATAAATTAGATAATGAAAATATTGATATGTCATTCTAACCTGCCAGACTGGGTCTGTATGTTTTCCATTTTTGGCTGTACATCTATGCATTGGTCCATCTTTCTTTTCTACATTGTAAACACCTACACTACCATCATAAAACCCAACACAGACCATATATGGGTGCTCAGGGTGTACATCAAGGCACATCACTCCACTATCTGTCTCGTATACATTCTCAGGGAAAGATGGGTTCTTGAGTGAGTAGAATAAAATCATACCACCAGCTTGCTTCATAAAGTCATCTGTTAAAATAATCATAATAACTTTATAACATTTTCTAGAGAATAGTTGTTTGGGGCTTATTCACTGAAATAAATCAAATTATTACATGAAAGTAACAAATATTTTTTCTTCGCATCATATGACATAATACATGTGTTACAGTTGTTGCATTAAAATTTATATATCAACAACAAATTAAATAAAAAATCTGTCCTCTTCATTACACAGAAAAATAATTTTGCACACTTGAATATTGCAGTCAGGTGATATATAACCCAAATAGGGACTAATACATTATGATGATATATATTATTTATTCATTTTTGTTATGGTAATAAATTAACAAACAAATCTTCATTGTTCATATATACTTACATGATCCGAAGGACACAGCAAACAGATCCTTGTACTTTGGGTTCCAGCAGAGAGAGGTTACAGCCAATTTCTTTGCTTTCTCGTAGGAGAATCTCCAGAGTGGAAGTAAGGTACCCTCGTTCTCACGATATTCATCCGATGGATCTTCCCAATATCTGAAGTCTGTACAGAAATATGTTTATATTTATTAGTAATCTAGTATGTATAAACTTAACATCTCCTTCAACAATTTCTTACATCTTAATATATATAGATGACAGCTTCTTTTTGTAGCAGCGACTACAATGTACAACTATAGTATACAAATATTTGAATTCCTAAATCATACTGTATGATTTACATAGAGTCTATGTTATGACCTTGGATCAAACCAGTGACCATCAACTTGTGTACCTTTAAATTGGCATCATCCCAACAATGAGGTATGTCAATACCTATTGCCCAATTGAGAGACATTTCATTGTGTACAAGTTTGCATAAAATTGCCATTTCATTAATATTAGACCATTAATGACACATATATTAGATGTATTACTTTATATAGTTGGAACTGTTTTCTTTGGCATCATTGGAAGAAACTTTGCTTTATATTTTTAATTTAGGAAAAACATTTAGTTTTTGAAATAATAATTTTAGATACTTCAAAAATTTGAATAAGTCAAGTTCTTACCCTGTGCAATATCATCATATGTGTTTTGATTGACCATACGTTCAATGATCTTTGATGCTTTCGAAATTCTTGAAATGTCATCTCCCTGAAAACACAATAACAGGAATGTTAAATATTAACTTACAGATATAGGAACATAATAGTAGAAAAATAATTACAGATGAAAACTCAATACAACTGACAAATAAATGACAGCATCACACTCTGTCTGAGCTTTAATTAACTTGTCCAATTACACCATCATATTTTCAGTTCATACTTAAAGCATACGGAAGTAATGTACATGAAAGTAACAACACAAAAAGTAATCAAACAAAGAATATAAAACATCTATTTATTTATGTCTGTAAATGAGAAAAAAAATACTAGCATGTGCCAATCTTATTGAAATAAAATTTAAAGCAGAAAAAAAAATGTTCTTAAGCGTTTGCAAAAAATTACTTCTCAAGCCTTTGGTAATTGAACGTTCCAAAGCAAATTCATGAAAAAGCAAGCATTTCAAGTGTTAACAGAGCAATGTTTGACTGATTTGTTGTTACTAGTATATCAGGCTCCCCAATGATGCATTACAAAGCTAGAATATCGACTTATAATGAGGAAAAGAAAAAAATGTTATCCACAGTGACCTTGACCCAATGGTAGAGGTCAATAAAGGTCTGATATATCAGTCAATAAATGAAGATGATAAGCAAATTTGTCAAAAAATTTGACAGAAGGGCAAAATAAAAGGCAAACTGCCAACTTTAATTATATTCAGTCAAATATTTAAAGGGCTGCAAGTTTTTTAACTGGTACATGTCAAGAGTTGAAGTATCAGTCTAAGCTACATTAGCATAAGCCCGAATGCAAGTATGCCCAGTAAAGTACAATGCGTAAACATTTATGCCATGTGTTTGTAAAATAATGATTTATGTAATGGTCTGAAACATTCTGAATATGTCAAGTTATGTGTTATTATTCACAAAGAAATAATAAAAATTAATGGCGCAGACAAGAAGTTTCTGTTACATTTAAAAACTTGACATTCTGTTTTTCAACCTCAGAAATCTACAGATACAAATCTTGATTGAAACATATTGTGTCATCATGATAAACAGGTGAAGTTTGTGAATCAATTTGTTAATATCAGACTTACAATTAGAACAAGCAAGGTTAGGTACACTAAAAATTGGACTAAAATTCAGGCGTTACCATGGTAGCTTTATTAACAATTCACTCAAAATCAAAAGTTTTACTGGGAAAAGACTCAAAATTATCTATTCTTTCATTATAAAACTGATGAAGCATTTGTTACATGTATTTCTATTACATGTATTAATTTTAGACTACTATTAAGTAATTAAAGTTATCACATGATACTTCATAATAAATTAATTTTTTTAAGATAATGCATTTTATGTATTTTCTTTTTATAACAATGATTAACTATGCACAATGTCATTTTATTTTCATAGCTTTATATATTCTGAAATAATGATTATAGTCCTGCAGTATAAATGATTGTATGCTATAAACTTAGGCTGCTAGAGCAGGGCTGTAACATGGCAAATAATCATTTATTCACAAAAATCTGACATGTGATTTTTAAATTCATAATTCATAGCAACAAAAAACAAATAGATAATATAAACTTCAGGGTTGTCCTTTGAAAATCAACATCACAGTTTGCAGTATTTATAAAAATTTACCACACAATTGGAGTAAGTTCTTGTGTTAAATCACTCAATATTAGTCTAAATTCAAATAAGGTATAAAAAAATGTTATAGTAAAACAAACTTACCTGCTGTAAAGTTTAAATTTTTAAAAAAAAGATGGAAAATGTTTTAATTAAGGATATAATAATTTACAATCAGTAAAATATTTGAATTAATATTACAGCTTAAAAATGCTTCAAATCATTAACCAAAAATATGCTGGACTCTTTGTTATCAATTTTGTTCATCAATTCTACTAGACAATATTTCAGAACTTATTCAAACAAGTACACAGCTGAAGAAACTACATGTATATTCAACAAACCATCCTTGACCAGTGTACAAGTTCAAATATTTAGTAACGTTTAATCTGCATTGTACAGAACAATGTTTAAAGCCTTTTTATACTCTATACTCATTGACATATTTCTTTGCTATGATTTTTCTAAAAACGCAATGTTTATTGGCCATTTTTTTTATAAAAAGTATACATATAACTAACCGATGTTTCAGTAATTGTGAGCCTCTTTCTTGTCTTATCTTCCTCCTTTCTCCCAGGTATAACTTTCTTCTCTTTATTCTTCTCCTGAAATATGTAGCAAAAGTAGTACATTTATAAAGACTATGTCAATACATTTATATTCGAAAAAATCTTTTTGCTGAAATGCCTTTTCAAAAAAGAACAAACTTCATATGGGAAATATGTAGTCAATGAAACTTTTGTTCAATTCATTTTTTTTTATGTTCAACTATGTAATCAAGATATTCTAGTTAGATTTATCACTTTCAAATCTGTTTCTTTAGGTGGTGCCTTACAAAAATAAAATGATCATGACCCCAATCAAGCTAGACTTCATGACCACTATGGTGGGAGGCGGATACCTTTACATCTATCCGACAGCTGAACTTTCATCTGAAGTTATTTTCTGATATGCTCAAACCATATTACTCATTAAGTTGTACAAAATTTACAGTTTAGGTCATATTGTATGTTTCTATACCTGTTTCTCAAAATCTTCCTGGTAAGCATCAAAGATCTCCCATTGTGTAACATTGGCAGCAAACACAGCTCTAGGTGGAGGTTCAGTGGCAGTTCCACGTTCCTGAAAACCAACATTGCCATTACAATCATTGTTCATGTTGTAATTTAAAAAAATATTATATCTATTAACAAATTTCTATGTATTTTGAATACTTTCTCAACTTTTTCAAGCAAAATCACTCTTCCATCATAATAAGATGAGCTATGAAAAGCAAAGCATTCAAATCTGATAATGCATTTATAGTAATTTGACTGAAGAACCCTTCAAGTCTATTTGCAATTTTTGTATGTAACAAAAAAAAATCACATATTTAATACAAAATGTCATAATTTTTACTGCGTATTATTGCAGCTTTTGCTGTGAAGCCTGATAGATTTAAACACTGGAATAAAAAATATAAAAAACAAGAGCTGTCTGTAGGACAGCACGCTCGACTATTCTAAGTGCTTGATATTAAAAGAGCCTTGATAATGTTAAATTTTTTAAGTTTACAAAAGGGCTAATTTTTTTTGTAAATTTTTGTTATAGGCTTTAGAGAGAGTCTAATTAAACAGAATTGGCTTGACTATTCGGAAGGTAATGTCACAAGGGTGTTTTATTGAGTATAATAATACTAATTACCTATAAATACATAAATTTGACAGAAAAGGTACAAAGGCTTGTTATTAAGATGTTTTATCAAGTAAGTCACTGCTTTATTATTATGAATGCATAAAATTGTCCCAAAAAAGGCACAAACCCTTCAGTAGTTATTGAGATAACAGCTTACAAATGAATTTCTAAGTTGAAAAAGGGGAGAAAAATCAGCCTAAATGCAAGATAGAATTATGGATCTTTGTAAGTGACCTACAATTATGACCCTAAATGCATAATTATGTGAAGTTTTAAATAAATATCTTTAATAGTTATTGAGATATGTAAAACTTGCATGTAAACATTAACCAAGAGACTAAGTAGAAATGGGGATATGAATCAGCCTTAATGCAAGATAGAGTTATGAAACTTGGTCAGTGACATACAATTATGACCCTCCAATTATGACCCTAAGTGCATCTGTAAAGTTGCAAGTAAAATCTTTGAAGACCTTTAACCTTTAACCAAAATTTCTAAGTTTCAAAGGGGCAAATAATTCTGCAAATATTGCAGGCAGAGTTATGCAATTTTGCAAACTGATGTACATTGTTACTATAAAAAAGTATTTTAATTTTCAATTGAATATCTCAAGCAATAATTGAGATATTTGACTTTACAAAAAAACTTTAACCAAAATTTCTAAGTTCCAAAGGGGCAAAATTCTGTCAATATTGTAGGCAGAGTTATCCAACTTGTCAATCTGATGTACCTTGTTACTATAAATAAGTATTGTAAGTTTCAATTGAATATCTCAAGCAATAATTGAGATATTTGACTTTACAAAAAACTTTAACCAAAATTTCTAAGTTAAAAAGGGGCATAATTCTGTCAATATTGTAGGCAGAGTTATCCAACTTGTCAATCTGATGTACCTTGTTACTATAAATAAGTATTGTAAGTTTCAATTGAATATCTCAAGCAATAATTGAGATATTTGACTTTACAAAAAAACTTTAACCAAAATTTCTAAGTTAAAAAGGGGCATAATTCTGTCAATATTGTAGGCAGAGTTATCCAACTTGTCAATCTGATGTACCTTGTTACTATAAATAAGTATTGTAAGTTTCAATTGAATATCTCAAGCAATAATTGAGATATTTGACTTTACAAAAAACTTTAACCCAAAATTTCTAAGTTAAAAAGGGGCATAATTCTGTCAATATTGTAGGCAGAGTTATCCAACTTGTCAATCTGATGTACCTTGTTACTATAAATAAGTATTGTAAGTTTCAATTGAATATCTCAAGCAATAATTGAGATATTTGACTTTACAAAAAACTTTAACCAAAATTTCTAAGTTAAAAAGGGGCATAATTCTGTCAATATTGTAGGCAGAGTTATCCAACTTGTCAATCTGATGTACCTTGTTACTATAAATAAGTATTGTAAGTTTCAATTGAATATCTCAAGCAATAATTGAGATATTTGACTTTACAAAAAACTTTAACCAAAATTTCTAAGTTAAAAAGAGGGGGCATAATTTCTGTCAATATTGTAGGCAGAGTTATCCAAATTGTCAATCTGATGTACCTTGTTACTATAAATAAGTATTGTAAGTTTCAATTGAATATCTCAAGCAATAATTGAGATATTTGACTTTACAAAAAACTTTAACCAAAATTTCTAAGTTAAAAAGGGGCATAATTCTGTCAATATTGTAGGCAGAGTTATCCAACTTGTCAATCTGATGTACCTTGTTACTATAAATAAGTATTGTAAGTTTCAATTGAATATCTCAAGCAATAATTGAGATATTTGACTTTACAAAAAACTTTAACCAAAATTTCTAAGTTAAAAAGGGGCATAATTCTGTCAATATTGTAGGCAGAGTTATCCAACTTGTCAATCTGATGTACCTTGTTACTATAAATAAGTATTGTAAGTTTCAATTGAATATCTCAAGTATTAATTGAGATATTTGACTTTACAAAAAAACTTTAACCAACGCAGACGCCGACGCGGACGCTGACGCCGACGCCGACGCCGGGGCGACTACAATAGCTCTCATATTCTTCGAATAGTCGAGCTAAAAATAAATAAATAAAATCTTTTTACTGTATATTTAAACTAAAATGCCATCACAGTTGCATAATATAAATGTTGCCAAAATAATTAAGTACAAGTAATAATTACCCTGTATGGGTTATTGTAGGTCTGGGAAGCACGTTCACTGAAGTTAAACTGATTTGTTAACTTTTTTGAACCGCCTCCTTCAGTTTGTGCTGGAGCTGGGGTTGTTGCCTCTTTTTTTTCTT